CCCCGGGCCCCCCGGCTGCGGGTGGTTGCGCTGGGGGGCGGCCCTGGCGCCCCCCCGGGGGCCCGGGCCCGGGGGCCCCCCCCTGCAGCGCCGGTGCAGCGCGCGAAGAACTTTGAGTAGCACTGCTGCTCGCCCTCGCTCAGCAGCAGCGGCGGCCCAGAGCCGCAGCCCCGCGCCCGCTGCCGCCTCCATCGGGCCTGGAAGAGGGCCCGTCGGAGCACTGTCCCCGGTCCGGGCGCCGCTGCCTTCACCGCAGCCTTCGCTGCCTCAGCCTTGGCCTTGGCCGCCGCCGCCACCGCCCCCACGCCCCACAGCTGCTACGAGGCCTCTTCCTCCTGGCGCCGCCGGCCCCGCCCCTGGACTTGAATGTTGTGCCTCAGCGGCGCGGCACATGGAGACAGGCGCGACGCGGACCAATCGGAGCCTGGGGTCTCGCCCTGGCCCCGCCCTTGCCCCGCCCCCGCCTCACCTGGTGAAAAACACCGCGCGCACCTCCCGCCCTGCAGGGGGTCGTCTGCTCCGCCCCGCTGCCCGGCCAGAGGGGGCTGGGGCCCGCGCCAGGCGAGCGCACCCCGCACGGGAGGAGGGTCTTTGCTCTCCGCCCTGGCTGGGAAAGGGACCCACCTGGAGAATGGCTCTTTCCAGGGGGCGGGGCAAGCTGTGGCGTTTTTCTCCCTGGGATGCTGGAACTAGTGCCCGGCCCAACGCATGCCTAGCCCCTCCCAGAAAGGAGACCACGCAAGGGAAATGAGGCTTCCCTTTTTCCACCGCTGTACTGGTTAGGTCCTGAAAAGCTGAAGGATAGAGATCTTCATACGACTGAGGTCCCAGTGACTCCCCATTGCGTTCAGGGTGGCGACGAGGTTAGGCCACTTTCTGAGAGATGGCTCAAAGCTGGAGTTGAGCCTTAAAAAGAAATAGTATTGGTTAGTTAATATTAAATACTAGAGTAATAGAAGTTTTTTTTTAAAAAAGGCCCTGGAAAGAACTGCACATGTACATGCATTCAGCCTCTCTGGGAAACACTAACCCAAAGGAAAAATAGACAACATCTCGAGTGGCCTTCCCAAGGCTGAGGCGGCAGCGGGCGCACGCAGCGGTGGCTCCACTTTCCCCTCCTTGGTGGGTGGAGGAGACCGAAACGGTGCTGGGTGCGCTCCCCTTTCCTCTGCCTCCGGGCAGAAGATTCAGTCTCAGCAGAAAAATGACAAAAAGCATTCCGGACAAAAGAAGAAACAAGGACATGACCAAAAGGCTGCTGCCAACGCTGCCTTAATCTATACCTGCACTGTCTGTAGGACACAAATGCCAGACCCTGAGACCTTCAAGCAGCACTTTGAGAGCAAGCATCCTAAGACTCCACTTCCTCCAGAATTGGCTGATGTCCAGGCATAAAGTTGTTTACAGGTGAATTCATGACAACTTTGACTCTTCTACTGTCTCAGACCTTAGGTAGCAAACTTGCAGCTGCTTTTCTCACAAACTGTTGATCAGCAAAAATAAAGGGGCTACAGAAACACTCCTTTTTATGCTGTTCCCTTTTGGGCTTCATGCAAAGACAATTCTGTATAAATGTACAGTTGACTCTAATTTGGAAATGTGAAAATCAGTCCATCCTTGTTATAAAAAAATTTTTACAATTGTAATTATATTAATGTTCATAATGTGTAAAATAACTCATTTAATAAAGTAGTACTTTGATTTTACAACAACAACCATAACAAAAACAACATCTCAAGAAATAGCACTGATGATATAGACTTTGGTATTTGGGTCAACTAAAATAAGGACCAAGGACAGGAAAAGAAAAAACATCAGCAGATGGTTAAGGCGGGGGGAGATACATAAGAAGAAATAAAGAAAAATTGTCAATTCATAAATGATGGCCAAAGTAATACATCCCTTCTGGAATCTAAAGAAATCAAATAGAGGAGAGGATCCACTCCAAATGCAGGCAGTTCTTCACTAAGTTTTCCTTACATGACATTTTGCTTTAGACCTGCCAGGAGAGAATTAAGACAGCAGTAGGCTTGGGACAAGAGTACAAGAAGGACAGGTAAGTTGGGAGCAGCAAAGACTAACTTAGCTGGGGAACTTCCATTTCAAAATCTCACCACCACTGTATTTTCCACAACTGTAATACCTTCTTGGGGAAATTGCAAGCCAAGAGATCATGTTTATTCCCTTCCTACCATCCCAACTGTACTTCGGCTCCCCTGAGAATGGCCCACCATTCTAACAAAGGTTAAAAAGGGACCCACTCTTTGTGATAAGTGCCAAACCCTAATTTCCCCTACAACTCCTATGAAAAGAAATATGAGGTATGGTAATCCCTAACATTCATGTAGTTCAAAGCTACATTACCTCCTTTAAGCCTCACAGTAACTCTCAGGTAGGTTGGGAAAACATTTTTATCTCGATTTTACAGATGAGAAAATGGATGCAGAGATGGTGTGATACTATATTTGAAGCTGATCTGCATTACTCAACTCAGTGTAATAAATTTGACAGATATTTCTTAAGCACCAGATACTACAGAGATGGGTAGAAAGTCTCACATCTGTGCCTATCAATCAACACTTTCTGGTAGAACAGGGAGTATCGGTGGTGCCCCTCTGGGAGTACTGTAAGGGGTTTTTAAAAAATAAAGATGTGTTGTTTCAAGGAGTCTGCAACCTCACCGGAAAAGACAAAACTGACACAACAAATAAAAACAAACAATAAAAGACAATGTATAATTAAGTGCTAAATTGTGTACTCTGGGCTAAGTGCTGTGGGAGTTTAGAGAAGAGAGAAAATCCATGAACCAGAGCTCAACCAGGAAGGTTTGATGAAGGAGACCCAAGATGGATGTTGATGAATGGGTGGGACTGGAGAAGCCGAAGGACCAGACAAAGAGGTAGGGTCACGGGAGAGGGAAGAGCCCCAGAGACTTGAGCCAAGGATGAGGGACTGCAGGGTGGAGCAGGAAGGAGGGGCAGCCTCTGATGGGTTCTGGGATGCTGGAAGGGAAGTTGTTCAACAATGGATAGATGGATGGATGGATGGATGGATGGATGGATGGATGGATGGATAGGTGGACGGACTGACGGACAAGAGGCACACCCAGAGTGACCCAATAGCAATAATATTTAAAACAAGAACTCAGGAGGAGAAAATGGCATTTTAAAAATGTTTTAATATCTAAGGAATTCTAAGCACTGTTCTTTACTTCTACAACAGCTTTTTTAATACAAGAAATAGTTATCAAACTTCAAAATAGACAGATAAGAATATAAAACTATAAACATTCATATCACTTAAGGCTGACAGTAAATAAGAACATTTTAGAAGAGAATTTTTGTATACTCTTGCAGTTCTAAACTTACACACTTGTTTCAGCTCCATCATGGCCAAAAAAATAATATATTCGGGAATAGCCAAGAGATATCTTTAAGTTATGCTTTTTTTTCCTTTTAAATCCAGCATCAGTGCCCTACATAAAGATAACCACAAACTCAGAACAAAGTAGTGGTTACTTCTAGGGAAAGGTTTTCTAAAGCAGGGGTTGTAAAACTAAGACCAGTACCTGATTTTATATGGCTCATGAACTAAGAATGGGTTTTACATTTTTTTAATGGCTGAAAAAAATTATTAGTGTTTCCTGTGCACCAAACAATATTTCAGGACACATAAAAATTATATGAAACTTGCATTTGCCAAGCCGGCATGGCTCAGTGGTTGAGCATCGACCTATGAACCAGAAGGTTGCAGTTCGATTCCCCATCAGAGCACATGCCTGGGTTGCAGGCTAGATCCCCAGTGTGGGGCATGCAGGAGGCAGATGATCAATGATTCTCTCTCATCATTGATGTTTCTATCTCTCTCTTCCACTCCCTCCCTCTCTGAAGTCAATAAACATATATGTTAAAAGAAACATTTCAGTGTCCATAACCAAGTTTGGTTGGAACAGTCATGTGTTGTTTGTGGTTCTTTTCACACTATGATGGCAGAGTTGGGTTATTGCCTAAAATATTTACTCTCTGACCCTTTATTGAAAAAATTTGTTGACTTCTAAAGTATGGAAACCTAATAGTTTTTTTGTTTTGTTTTTTGCCTACAGCTGATCTTTGGGTTACCTGGGAGGGGGCGATATGGAGAATTCAGTTTGAGCTTCTGAATTTTCATGAGTGATACTGAGAAACTTCATATTGTATCTCAAAGATTGGTGAACTTTAAAAAGTACTTACTGAAGGACGGACCACTGTACAGTAGCCCCCTGTTGTAGGTGGCAGGAATGACACTGGGTGTTAGACCGGTAGGGTCAGACCAGACCTGGGTTCAGCAACCTCCATACTTGAGTTCTGGCTCAGAAAGAATTCAGAGCCAAGACCCAAACTATAAAACATTTATTGCCCTGACTAGTTTGGCTCAGTGGCTAGAGTGTCGGCCTGTGGACTGAAGAGTCCCAGGTTCGATTCCGGTCAAGGGCATGTACCTTGGTTGCGGGCACATCCCCAGTCGGGGGTGTGCAGGAGGCAGCTGATGGATGTTTCTCATGGATGTTTCTAACTCTCTATCCCTCTCCCTTCCTCTCTGTAAAAAATCAATAAAATATATTTTTTAAAAGAAGAAAACACTTATTTGTAAAATCATAGAGGTAGAAGAAGTAATTCATACAAGAGATGGGCTCAGGAAACAAGCTGTGGAAGCAAAAGAAGGGCCCTCGGAGCTTGGGAGTGAGGAAAATAATGGTAAGGCGCCTAGGGGGTGGAAAAGGGGAAAGGGAAACTGAAAAGGGAAAGGCACCAGCATGCTCCCTGGAGGGAGAGCCCTCTGGGTCCTCCACCCTAAGTGTTTTAAGGGTGGAGATTTTAGGGGAGGTCACAGGGGAAGCTCTTAATAGAATATTCAGCAGCTTTCCAGGTGTGTCCTTTCAGGGTCTAGGTCTCCACTGATTGGTCGGTGGCTGCGTCAGGACAGGGGGTCATTATTCAATGCAGCTGGTCCTGAGGTCAGCCATGGGGTTGCTGGTCTGGTTTATTGCTTTTCTCGGCCTGGAGCTGAAATACAACTGAGGTCTAAGTGTTCTCTCAAGGGAGGAAAGGTCAGGGGATCCAAACTGCATGACCATCGATATGCTAGGAATGAAGGCCACTCTGGGGGCAATACCCACCCTACAATTGTCCTTTGCTAAGCACCTGAGGCTTTCCACCCTGGAGACCTTCTGTACCATCATCCTTGCTCTGCTCATGTCTGTCTACCACACCCCCTCACCCTTGATCACAGTTTCCCTTTCCATGGTTTTAGTTACCCTTGGTCAACCATGGTCCAAAGATATTAAATGGAAAATTCAAGAAATAGACAATTCATAAGCTTTAAATTGTGTGCCGTTCTGAGTAACCCCACCATGCTACCTGAGAGGTAAATCTTGCCTTTGTCCAGCGTCTCCCTGCTGGATTCGCTCCTCGCCCTCCCTACCCCCCACCATTAGTCACTCAGTAGTTCAGTTATCAGATGACTGGAGTACCTTCACGTTATCTACAAGAAGGGTGAGTACAGTACAATAAGATATTTTGAGAAAGATCACATTCACATAACTTTTATTACATATATTGTTATAACTGTTCATTTTATAATTGGCTATTGTTAACCTCTTACTGTGCCTAATAAATTAAGCTTTATCACAGGTATTTGCATATAGGAAAAAACGTAGTATATATAAGGTTCA